TTGAAGATGTTCCAAGGAGGCTTATGGAGTAGGAGTTTCCATGGCCAAACAAATTTAGCAATTCTCACCCTCCTCAGTGAACTTGATAATGTATGTTAGCATGTGGAAACCCAAGGTTCATAAAATCATGTTTAATTTTATTTGACCTAGTGCTTTCCAAACTTTTTGACCACAGACCCTTTTTTCTAGTAAAACTAACATTCCATGTGGATCCAACTTAATTGTCAAGCAGTTCCTTGGCAGTTTACATTAAATAGACTGTCTTATAAAACTATTAGGCATAGAGAATATTTTGTCAGGATTTTAATATTGAAATGCAATGTTTTTGATGCTTTAGAAATAACTGATATAAACAGACATTTGTTACTAAAGTAAAGATTAAATAGTTTTATGATGCACATGACTGCAATGTGAATATAATGTGGTAGTTTGTATTGGTTAACTCATGCCCCAGTTTTCTTACAATGTAAATTATTTACTGATGTACACTCTTAATGTATAAGTGCTTTTATTTATACAGTAAACATGTTTCCATGTCATTTTGAGAATTTTTTTAATAAACATTCAAATAGCTTGCTGTAAAGTTTTGTATCATACAAAATTTGTTACATACATATTGTGAGATGCTTCAGTTCAAATAACAGTGCAGTAAATCACCTATATCTAAAAGACTGTCAAACGATTAAATTTCAGGTATTGCACTTCTATTTTGAGTGGCAGTTTACACATTTTAAATTATGTCAAGGGAAAAGCAATCAATACCACGGGAATCTAAATTTGGTCCACCTTAAATGTAATTTCAAGGATTGCTCATTTTATCTATCTAACCATGCATCCAGGAAAAAAAAATGTAATCAACTTATATGTTTGTTTCCACAAAAGGCATTTACCCTAGAAGAAAATGGGATTTATTAATTTTGTTTAAAATCTGTGCAATTAAAAAATAACAAAAAAATCAATTTGTGTTTATTTCTTTAAGTAAAATATACAAATCAAGTTCACTTGTAACCTATGGCATTACTAAACTGGATAAAAAATACTATTTGTCAGAAATGTGCTTTTCTTTTTTCTTTTATATTTGACAAACTCATAAATGATATGTTTTCCTCTACTTCTTTATAGCAGCTTTCTGGGAAATTAATAGGAATAAATTTGTAAATTTGTGGTAA